ATGGTGGGAAAGCTTAATGTCATCAGCCAAAATAAGGCCAGACTGACTGTGGAACAGTTGCTTATTTTACAACTTTACGTTGAAGTTGAAGAAAAAACAAGTCCAAGAGAGCTAAAATATGACCTTGAAAACATCCCATCTGAATTTAGAGACTATCTCAAAAACAGATCTGATACATATGACACACTAATGACCAATACATATGACACACTAATGACCAAAGACTAGAAGAGTTACAGGATTACATCAAGAACTTCATACAGAAAAAGCAAAACGGTCACTAAGAAGACAGGAAAGAATGAACAGACTAAAATGCATGTCAGAAGATACTCTGAAACTTGCTCTCTAGCATAGAGATGCTAAAGCGAATGAAGGAATGAAGAAGTCAAAAGAACTAAACAGGAAGTTTCAAAGGGCAGCTTGAGAAGACGTAGTAAAGTATTATAGTGAAATATACAAAGACCTGGAGTTAAAAAACCAAAAGGGAGGAACATACTTGGCATTTCTTGAGCTAAAAGAACTGAAGAAAAATTCAAGCCTTGACTTGCAATATTGAAGAATTCCATGAGCAAAATATTGAACAATGCATAAAGCGTCAAAAGAAAATGGATGATATACACAGAATCACTGTACCAAAAAGAAATGGTTGATGTTCAACCATATCAAGATGTAGCATGTGATCAAGGACCGATGGTACCAAAGGAAGAAGTCCAAGCTGTAATGAAGGCATTGGCAAAAAACAAGACTCCAGGAATTTATGGAATACAAATTGAAATCTTTAAACAAACTGATGCAGTACTGGAGATGTTCATGTATTATGCCAAGAAATTTGTGCTTATTCTTAAGAGAGGTGACCCAACAGAATGCAAACACTATCATTAATATCACATGCACGTAAAATTTTTCTGAAGATAATTAAAAAAAATGTACATTGACAGGGACTGACAGATACTCAAGCCAGATTCAGGAAAGGGCGTGAAACTAGGGATATCATTGCTGACGTCAGATGGATTTTGGCTGACAACAGAGAATATCAGAAAGAATGTGGTGTACTCGTGCTTTATTGTCTGTGTAAAAGCTTTTGACTATGTGGATCATGACAAGCTGTGGATAACATTGCAAAGAATGGGTAATCAAAGACACTTAATAGTGCTCATGGCAAACCTGTACATAGACCAACATGCAATTGTTTGAACGGAACAAGGGGGTACCAAATAGTTTAAAATCAGGTAAGGTGTGCATAGGGTTGTATCTTTTCACCTTACATATATGAAGAAGAATGTGGCTTCAGAATTGGAGTAAGACTCATTAACAACCTGCGATATGCAGATTATACAACCTTGATTCCTAGAAGAGAAGAGGACTTAAAATACTTACTGATGAAGGTCAAAGATCACAGCTTTCAGTATGGATTGATTGTACCTCAATGTAAAGAAAACAAAAATCCTCACAACTAGACCAATAAGTAACATCATGATAAACGGAGAAAAGATTGAAGTTGTCAAAGTCTTCATTTTGCTTGAATCCACTGTCAACAATCATGAAAGCAGCAGTCAAGAGATCAGACCACATATTGCATTAGCAAATCTTCTGCATAAGACCTCTGTAAAGTATTCAAGAGCAAAGTTAATTGAGGTCTAAAGTGCACCTGACCTAAGCCATTGATATTTTAAATAGCCTCATATGCATGTGAAATTTGGACTATGAATAAGCAAGATCATCGAAGAATTGATATATTTTAGTTATTGTTTTGAAGAAGAATATTAAAAGTACTATAAACTGACAGAAGAACAAAGTCTGTGTTGGAAGAAGTACAAATAGAATGTTCCTTAGTAGTCACGATTGCTTTGGTCTTGTACTTCAGACGTTTTATCAGGAGAGACCAGTCCCTGGACAATACCATCATGGCAGGAAAAGTCAACATCATGGCAGTGAAAAAGAGGGAGACCCTCAATGAGAAGAATTGCCACAGTGGCAGCAGCAGTGGGCTCAAGTTGTTGGGTGGTGCAAGACTGGGCAGTGTTTTGTTCTGTTGTGCATGTGATTGCTATAATTCAGAGACGACTCATCTGCACCTAATAACAACAATAATCCTACTATTAAGTGGCAAAGATAGGACTTAAACCAAGTCTCACTTCTAAACTAGTGCTTAGATAGAAATATTATTTGCTTGTTTTCTTAGGTGACTTTGAATTTCCTTTCTCATGCTGGAAACTGTAGTCTTGTAGTTTTAATAGATTTTTCCATAAAATGTTTGAATGTTATAACTTTTACTTTTCAGGTTTGTACAGACTCTTATGCATCTTCTTAAAGGAAATATTGGAACTGGTCTTTTAGGACTTCCATTGGCAATAAAAAATGCAGGCATAGTGGTAAGACTTCCCTTTGTAATCTATTAAGATACAGTTATCAGTCTAATTTACAGTAAACATTACCACAAGGTATCATGTCGCCTAACATTAGATGCTTGGGCAAGTAAAACTTGGCCAGGTGACAACTATATCATTATTTAGCTGTTTTATTTAAACATTATGCAAAGTATGATGATGTACAATAAAATCTGAGAATTAATTATGCTCTTCATTTCTACTTAATTATATACTAATTGTAGCATTTGACATGCACACACACACACAAATCCTAAGGTAGTGCTTGATTTTCCCAGATATGGTTATATCTTATTATTTTAGATTTTCAGTGACTGAAGCACTGTATTCATTTTAATACACTTAAAAACAAAAAATAAACCACACCGTGTCATCTAGTCAATTCCAACCCATGTTCATTCCAGGCATTACGGAGTAGAACTATATCTAAATGGTTTTCTTGGCTATAATCCTAATGAAAGCAAATTTCCAGGCCTTTCTTCCAAGGTACCATTGGATGGGTTTGAACTTCCAATCTTAAGGTTCATTGTCCAATGCAAACTGTTTGTCCCACCTCGGGATCTTAAATACACGTATAGAAAATATTACTTGTACTCATATTATGAAATGTTAGTTTTTAAACTCAATAAAATTTACAGTTTTCAGATTTAAAGAACAGTAGTTTTTAAAGACCTAATTATATCTTTTAAAAATAGATACTTAAAGCATAGTTAGAACCAATTATTGTAATTTGCAGGGAACCTTGATATGTAGAGAGAATTCACTTGTAAAACAATGAGATCACATCTGGCCTTTTCTTAGTTGAAAAGCTCTATAAAAAGCAACTTCCTCTATCATCCTTCCCTGCATTTCACTATTTTGTCCACTCTAATTAAAACAACTTTAACTTTTCTGATTATAAAACTAAACCTTGGCAGTATTTTGAATGCATCTTCATAATCTAGTTATTATTTTACTCTTAGTAGTACTTGAAATTTTTTGGTAAATATTTAAATTTTTTTATGAATCATCCTTTCAAGTAGCTCCTTTTAAATATAAAACATTAGCATATATTTAAACTGTAATGAGACCAGAAAATATGATTGCCTTGTTTATATCTTAAATTTGCTTCTAAGCATAGTTGCTTGCACATAGTTAGTACTTAGCAAGCAACCTTTAGAAGAGTGGATTGCTCACAATTCTAGTTTTATACAGTGCTTTTAAATAATTTAGAATAATGACTTATGGTGGTATAATGGCATTTCAAACCCACCAGCTGCTTTTCAGAAACCCTGTACAGCATTGCTGTGGGTTGGTGGAATTGACTATGGCACTTACCAACAGATAATTATAATAGGATACAGGTAGTCAAAGACTTGCCATCTTATGTTAAATGAAATGTTGTTTTTCTGTCCGACTTTGGTGCATATACTCTATTTTCTATAGGTTTGAGTAGCCAACTCGATTATGGCGAACTTGGCTTTTTAAATATTATGTGTGGTTCCTTAAATATTGTATGAAATTCTTCCTGTATTTGAATTTATTGATTTCCTTTTATGCACATATTTGAAAAAATTATATTCAATAATGATTTAATCACTGCATATGAGTAATTCATTGTCTTGTTATAGGGCAACTGAATTTTTACACAACTTCAATATTTGATTCTTACAACTTTTCTTGTCCACAGCTTGGACCAATCAGCCTTGTGTTTATAGGGATTATTTCTGTCCACTGTATGCACATATTGGTACGTTGCAGTCACTTTCTATGTCAGAGGTAAATGTGGATTTGTTAAGTTTTTTAAAAAAATTTTTTGACTCTATTTTAAAGTATAAAAATAGTCTTACATTTCTACTGTGCTTTGCAATTAGAAGTTTTTCCTATAATCTGTTATATAGATAGTGTAAATTAATAATTGTGGTAGAAAAGGACTGTACTTCATATGATTTAAATCTAGTTTTAATTTAATTATTTCTTTTTAAAAATAATAGCTTCTGTAGTAAAATGGAATAGTTTCTTTTTTTTTATTATAAGTACAAAAAAACAGGAAAGCTATAGGGATGAAATGGAGGCAGCAATATGACTTTTGTCAGTAATCCAGTTTTGGGCTACTTTAAATACACGATGCCTTTGGTGCTATTTGATGTGTGGTTATTAGAGAGTCAAAATAGTAGTCTTGTTTTCTCCATATGGACCATCAGTGCCTATTGTAGTAGACCACCACTCCAATCTTGACTTTTATGGTTAATGCTCTTCAAACTTTGAGCAAGTCATTTATGATTTTTTAAGTAATTTGAAAAAGAATAAGCCTAAATGGTAAAATAATACTTATTTCATGGAGCTATTTTGAGGATTAAATGAGATAGTTTTTGTGAAAGTGTATTATAAAGCTCTTTACAAATATGTTATTAAATTGTGCTTTTGGAAAAACTGACTAATTGAAATATAGTTGGTTTATAAGTGTAGTTGGTGCTTTTAGGTAATTGAAATATGAGTGAACCATAATTTTTAAGTTACATGAAGTCTACAGATAATAAACTTTAACAGTAAGTTAAAAACTAATATGGCAGTAAATAGAATAGATGTGCAATTAAAAAATTGTATGAGATATGCTTTAGAAGAGAGAATTTGTTAATTTTGAAATTTCAAAAAATTTTTTCATTGTATATATCTGCATTCATTAATTTGTTTGATATCTTTCAAAGGAATGATTTTATTGACCAACTTAAAATTTGTCTTTGATGTATATGTTATTTAATTATAGGTTTAAAAAATCAACATTAGGCTATAGTGACACTGTGAGTTTTGCTATGGAAGTGAGCCCATGGGGCTGTCTTCAGAAGCAAGCAGCATGGGGACGGTAAGTACTTGCTCTTCTGTGAAGATCTATCAGCTTGTCAAGATGACACTAATTTTCAAGTATTTTAATCTGACAAGGTATGTAAATAATACGATAGAGTTGGGAAGAATAAATGCATATAGTCTTTACAGTTAGAAAGAGTTGGGTCAAAATATCAACTATACCAATTTAGTTTTATGGCCTTGGTCAAATTACTTGTTGTAAATGAAATAAAGTCAGAAAATGAGATGTTATAATACTTCATCACAGGATTGTTATGGTAGATTAAATGGTTTTCTGAAGTACCTGGTCAATTTATGACATAATCCACTTTGGTAATTGCTGAAAGCAAAGAGGAATTGAAATACTTCTTAATGAAGATCAAAGTTTATAATCTTAAGTATGGATTGCACCTCAATATAAAGACAAGAAAAATCTTCACAACTGGACCAATAAATAACATCATGATAAGTGGAGAAAAGATTGAAGTTGCCAATTTAGTTCAATTTGCTTGAATTCACAATCAGTGCAGATGGCAGCAGCAGTCAGGAAATCAAACGATGTATTAAATTACATAAATCTGCTGCAAGAGGCCTCCTTAAAGTGTTCAAGAGCAAAGGTGTCAGTTTGAGGACTAATAATGAGCTTAGCCTAAGCTGTGGTATTTTTAGTCACCTCATATTCATGTGAATTTTGGACAGTGGATAAGGAAGACTGTAGAAGAAGCAATGCATTTGAATAATGTTGGTAAAGAATATTGAAAATACCTTGAACAGTCAGAAGAACAAAGAAATCTGCCTTGGAAGGAGTACAGCCAGAATGCTCCTTAGAAGTGAGGATAGTGAGACTTCATCTCTCATGCTTTGGACGTATTATCAGGAGGGACTAGTCCCTGGAGAAGGACATCATGCTTGGGAAAGTGGAGAGTCAGCAAAAAAGAAGAAGACTCCCAACAAAATGGACTGACACAGTGGCAGCAACAAGGGGCTCGAGCATAGTGCTGATTATAAGGATGGCACAGGACCAGGCAGTTTTTCGTTCTGTTGTGCATGTAGGGTTGCTATGAGTCAGAACTGACTCAGTGGTAGCTAACAATTATTTTTTAATAAAGGTAAAATGTAAGATGTTGTGATCTCATTATTTCAGATCAAATTTTGTTGTTTAGTTACATGTTTATAGGGCCCCTAAAGTATAATTGTATTTTTACATAACCCTATTATTTATCTTATTTTCTGTCATTGGTGATCATGGCTAAAGAAAGTCACTTGAACACCCAAACCAGTTGCATGCCCATTGACATCAGGTTGATTCCAAGTCGTCGGGACCCCATAGGACACATTAAAACTGGCCCATAGGATTTCCTAGGCAGTAAATAGTTACAGAAGCAGATTGCCACCTTTTTCTCCTTTGCCACCAATGCTCTTCTTCAGAGAACATAGGATTGTAAAAACAAGGAAGAATAGACAGTCAACAAAGTGCTAACTGTGGTTCAAATCTTATGTGTGGTAGGAATTAAAGAAGAAAAAGAGCAGTGAGAATAGAGTGGTTAAATATGTAGCTTTGCTGGGGATTTTCAGGAAGTTAGATTTATTTATGAACTATTCAAAGTTCTTGATAAACTGGGTACAAGAAAGAAGGAAATGGGCCCTAATGTCTTAGGGACATGCCCCCAGAACCCAGAGTCCCATCTTGCCTCTCCTCAGTCCTAGTCTGAAGATAGCTTTATCTGATTCTGTTTTTTTCTTTCAAGAAGACTAGCTTTGAGAGAAATGGCTGGAATAATTATTGTTGGGAGGTCACCTAAAATCAAAGGTGCTGAAAAAATAATAAGAGAATCCTTGTTGTTAATCAGAGAGAGGAGACTTGAATTCATTTTGGTATACAAGGAAGTTAATTTATAAATGAGAATTGTGGAACACAGAAGAAACTATGGCATGAAAGAAGATGAAGCAAGAAGACCCTTCCAGTTTCAAAAGGGGGAAGGAGAATCTAGATTTTATAGACTAGATTGCTTGTCAGCTTGACATTAATGGTCAGACTTGCGACTAAAATAAATGAGTAAGTGCATGTTATTACAGTCACTTATTGTTTCCGGAACAAAACGACTCTGGGATGTATATTAGTAACAAACGGGAACATTTGTGACTTGCTTCCACCATGCCTAAGTAATGCCTTTCTGGTGATAGCCCTTCTTTTCTTTTTCCCATTATTTTATGTAGCTTGAATTTTCTTGAGTATTTTATTAAAACAAAACAAAAAAACCAACCCCAGAATCAAAGCTACTGAAGAAGTGTCTGAGTGTATACTTAGGGCCATGCCACCGGCTCTTCCCATTCCACGTTAGTAATATAGATAATAGGAAATATATCCCCATTGTTAGTAATATAGATAATAGGAAATATATTCATCATATTTGCAAATGACAAAGCTGGTGGTGGTGGTGATTATGTGCTGTGGAGTCAGTTCTGACTCATAGCGACCCTGTACAGGGTTTCCAAGGCTATAAATCTTTATGGGAGCAGAAAGCCTCGTCTTTCTCCCTCAGAACAGCTGGTGGTTTTGAACTGCTGACCTTAAGGTTCACAACCCGACTTGTAACCACTACGCTACCAGAACTCCTGGACATAAAGCTAGAGGGATGGAAAATACACTAAGTTGATCGGAAAGAAATCTTGAGAAGTAGGAGAAATGGACTTAGACTCAAAGGTGAAATGTTTCATGAAACTATTGTATAAGCATATACACATTTATGCCTCGATTATTGAATTTCAAAAACAGATAATGATGGGAAAATCTTGGCCTTCGAACTTAATGAAACTTTATCTTGCTCTGTAACAATTTTAGTGATAGATATAGATCTTTGTGCTAAGAAAATGAAAAGGATAATATAGCATTATAAAATAGCCTGAAAAATTAACAAGAGGAATAAAATATATTGACATTTCATTAGCCCTTATTGATACTTATTTGTGGGTCTCTTTTTAGGAGTGTGGTTGACTTTTTTTTGGTGATAACACAACTGGGCTTCTGTAGTGTTTATATTGTCTTCTTAGCTGAAAATGTGAAACAAGTGAGTATTTTCCCCTAGTTGTTAAAATTCTTTTCTTCTCCTCTTTCGTTGTGTCATCTTATTTCCTCTGTGGAAGTCATGTTTTACTATATAATATACCTTTCATAAGTTCCTTTCGTTTTTCTCTTTTGCAAGTTGGATTTCTTATGTTATTTTTGACTTTACTGTTCTTACATAACATCAGTAACTCTTGTTCTTTTAGATCAGAACAGAACAAAATTTACTGATTCATAACTACTTGAAATTTAGATCTCAAAAGCACATACACAGATAAGTTTTGGGAGTGTATTCTTTACATCTGTGTCTTATAAAGAAATGCAGAAGGCGTTAGCCAGCAGTCTAGAAAGTGGAGTAAAAAAGAGGGTATAACTAAAATCTAATAGTTATTGCCTATTGTTTGAAAAGATACTCTGTCCAAAAATGTACATTTTCTGTAATTTTTTATGTTATCGTTTGTTTTATGAGAAAGTGTTTTGCAGCCTTGGTAGAGACTGGCAGCTGATTTTGACAAATGAATGAATCAGAGCTCCTCCTATCACAATAATGCCAAAGCATATTTTGGGGGGCAAGGGGTGGGGAACTGGTAGATTGCTTTTATTTTTCCTATTAACCTCTGCTTTTTGTTATTGCTTATTTTCAGCAACAACATTGATTAGCCACATGTGCATGGTGCAGTAATAAACATTATACATAGTGAAATACAGCACTTGTGGGTATTTTCATGGAATAAATATGTTTGAATAAATTTTCTAAAGAAACTTTTATATAAATACAAAACGAAAACATTTGACTTACTATAAAGTTTTCTTAGTATAAAGTATTACTTTTTATTTAGACCAAGGGTTGACAGACTTTCTTTAAGGGCCAGATAGCAATTATATTTAGCTTTGTAGGCTGTATAATCTCTGATGCAATTATTGAACTCAACCGAAGATGATGCATAAATGAACAGGCATGGCTGTATGCCAATGAAATTTTATTTGCAAAAGTAAGTAGTAAACTGTATGTGGCTTTTCAGTCATAGTTTAGGCTATTCTTGTATTTGAACCTCTAGCTTAACTTTGTAATGTTTGAAGAGTTCATCTAGTCAAATCCTCTTTTATAAACTATGACAGGATCATGTCTAGTTAATATTCAGAGCCTGGATTTCCATTTAGTGTTCTTTCTATAGTACTATGTTTATTCCTTAGCACCATCATCTGGAAAAGTTCAACACCCAGTGTAAATCTACTTTGGGAAACTTCCTCAGCTGTCCTTTGTACCTCTTCCCTTTCCTCATCCCTTACCAAACTGATGGATTCTTCTTCTGTAGCACTTTTAAAAGTAGCTTTGATCATACTTATTTAGCATTAATTTAAAAGTTAATTTTCACCACTAGACAGCAAGCCCCATGAGGGAAGTGATGGCCCTTCTGTTGTGTTCCCTTAGCATGTAAGGGTATAGGTACTCAGTATGGTTATTGGATAGGAAAGGAAAGGAATCCTCTAGACTTAACAGGAATTATTCCTTTTCCAAGAAAAGGATCCCCTAGATTTAACAGAGATTATCTCTCTAGTTACTGGACCTAGTACTGTACCTGGTTTATTTAGCAAGTGTCAATTTTGTGGTCCAAATGGGTTGAACTGTCCAGTTTGATTTCTTCTCCTGCCACTTGCCTTGTTGCTCCCATTCTTGTTCAGTTATATTTGCTTCCATTTTTGCTTTCAGTTATTGTCTGTCAGTCCCTACATGATTGTTCTAACTTGGTTTCTCACACTTGTAGCTGTTTCTCTTTGCGTCTATAAACAGTATGGCCTCTAATTAATTTTACGACTGCTGGTGGTTCTTGCCAGGGTACTCCAAGACTGTCTGGAGTCAGAGCCTCAGTCAATGTGGCTTCTCCTTCCAGCCTGATTTTATTTATTTTTTCCAAATATCGTATTTCTAGAATATTTCTCTTTTACTCTCGTTAACCCAGATGCTTTCAAACAAATTATTTTACAAGCTTTTCTAGAATTTTTTTTTTTTTTAATCTAAACCATTGATATTCGGTTAGAGACTGGTGTTCCCTCAAACATAGTTACTACAGAACACAAGTCTTTACTGAGAGTAAGTTGTGATGAGAGAAGTAGAAGAAATATAAAAAGGGTAACAATTAGCAATTAGATTTAATTAGAGTCCTGTTTATGCTGCTTTTGTTTCTCAGAAAAAAAGTCAATGCTTTCATTAACATTATCCATTATAGATGATGTGTTTCTTTTTAATTACAAATGTGTTTAGCCACAAGTAGTGTGTTCTTAGGACTCATTTCCTTAGTGATGAGATGAGAGATAAGACATAGCCTCTTATAAGTCATTTATATAGAATTCAGTGGGAATGATGCTTTTTGGAAGTTGTGCAACTGATAATGCTGTGTCTTTGTAATTATTTCCTCACAGAACTACTAGTAAGCCTCTGAATTGATTAATAATGTTAACCATGCTTTATAATTTTATATAGCTATGACATATATCATTTAATCCTTACAACTAGTCTGTTAAGTAAGTACTATGCTCATTTTATGGATGAGGAAACTGAGTCTTCCAAAGCTTGAGTAATGCATTACCCTAAATCATGTGAAACTGAGCTGACATTTAGGTCTCGGACACACATACTAATTGTTCTTTCTTGACTGGATATTGTCTTATTTGTGTGTGTGCTTGTCACAGACTAGATAAAATGGAGAGACAGAATGTCTAAGAATTGATAACTTTTCCTGTGAATTGTTATCAGTTGCTTCCAAAGTTGAAAGGAAAAGTTTAACTCCTTTGCATATATCCTGAGATCAGGTAGAAAAATTGACTCTCTGGGAGATAAGGAGAATGTGTACTGGAATGATCAAAGTCCGTTTGAGTCATAACACGCAACATAGACAGAAACATGCAGTTCAGACTTATAAAATAGTTGCAAGTAAGGATATATACGTTGTCTAGGCATAGAAGGCGATCGTCACTGAAGCTGCGTGAGATCAGGGATTTTCACCCTCTGTCCAGAGGAGTGCGTTTACATTTACTATCAGTATATAATAGTAGACAACTGGTTGATTAAATCATACCAACTACTACTACTGTTATAGTTTAAAATGTTACCACTTTGTATGAAATTGAAGGTACAGTATTTAATATTCCAAAGAATTAAGAATCTCTTTGCCAGGCAAACATGCTTTATAACTTTCACATGGCTTTTCTTGGTCTCATTAAGCCCTATAGGCAAATACTAGGGAAATAGAACCTAGTATTATCCTATATTTGTGGTTCATCATGATCCTGTAGTTCCTCTATTTTTCCTCACTCTATGATACTGTAGAAATTTCTAGCTAGGTAAAATAGTGTATATGGGTGTGGGAAAGGGATGTTGTATTAAAAGAAAAACAACAAAACAAAACCCTGGAGTGACATGGACTGTAGAGTCAGAAAAGCTGAGTTTAAATCTCTGCTCTCTCAGTTTTAACCTAATCATTGGGCAAGACCTCCTTAACCGTGGTCAAGCCTCAGTTTCCTTATTTGTAAAACGGGATGATAACAAACTCTCCCCTAGTTCATCATACAGGTATTTTAAGACTCAACTGACCAAAGGTTTCTGGAAGCATTTATAAAATGTAAAGCAGTATAAAGCATGTAGGGCACTACAACTCTTAATTTTACACTTAACTTGCTAAACAACATAATCTGCCTTTGGAATTATAACCATTTAGATTACTGAATTAATTCTAAATAAGTAGTGGATTTTAGTAAGTTTGAGCCCTAAGTGGAAACAACTGAATTTAGTAATTTTATTTTATAATATTTATTTCAGTGTTTTACATTTTGGTAAACATGTGAGATCATAGGAAGTCCTATTAGATAGCCAATCTCTGTCTCTAGAGGGCACCAAAGGACTCAAATGTTTACCTGAATCTTGCTCTAGGTATGTATCTATATTTTTTATTTTATTTTATACTTTTTAATCCTGGTGATTTTCTAAACATCTTTCTGTCAAGGAATGCTAAAATATTTTGAGATATTTGTGATAGAATTAATATGACCTTCCCAAGAAGCTTCTGACAATTCAGCTGTTTTTAAAAAACTGGTTGTATAACTGCTTCTCTTCTTGCCAGGCAGGTAGCTTTGTTAGACCTCAACGCTGATTATTATCTAATTTAATAGTACTTGCCTACAATGTCAGTTTGAACCGCAAGGTCGGCAGTTCAAACCTACCAGCTACTCCTCGGAAACGCCCTATACAGGGTTGCTGTGAGTCGGAATCGACTCGACAGCACTTAACACCAACAACTACTTTGATCAGAAGTTCTTGGCTTTACGTAGTTAGGTTAGTGAGAAATTGTGTTTTTATAAACCAAAAAATGTAGATTACTAATTTTCTTTCCATTTCAAAATATAGATAATAAAATTTTGATAGCCAATTATAAAGTAAATACAGACTTAAAAAAATGGTACATGGGATAACTTGACAGTTTAATGGTCTAATAAGAGTTGTAAATTACCTATATAGCTTAAAACTGTATTATATATAATCCCTGTAGTCTAAGATCATGTGTACATTTATATTGGCATTAATATGGCTTACCTTGCATTTTAAGTTAAAATTGAATTGTTAATCATATCATAATTTTGTTTTAAACTTCTGATTTGTTGACCTCCTGATACTTTAATACATTTAGAGAAGTCAAAGAGGAGGTCAGGTGGCAGCTTCTCCTGGTATGACACTGTAGGATAAACACTGGACTTCTAACCACAAGGTTGGCAGTTCAAACCCACCAGCTGCTCCTTGGTAACTCTATACAGATTGCTAAGAGTTGGAACCAACTCGATGGCACTTGACAACAACGTGTTACAAGCTAGATTCTGTAGACTCAGATTTGGGTTTGAATCCTAGGATCACCACTTACTGACTTGATACTATGCAAGTTATTTACAATGTCTAAACCTCAGTTTCCTCAATTATAAATTGAAATTACTACTACCACCCACCTCAGAGAGTTGTTGTTAGGATTAAATGAGATGTTGCATAGAATGCAGAATCTGGCACATGGTAAGTGCATAACAATGGTAGCTATTAATATTATTATAGGGTTTTCTAAGGAATTTATGTGCACAGAGACTTGATAGTGTCAGTGTATTGAAAAGAGGCTGCAGTGTTTAGGGGGAAATAGGTTTTCACTGGTATTCAAGTTATAGTTTCTTTACGTTTGTTCTAAGTTTTAAAAATTGTTTCTAGTGTCCTCTATAATTTCATTTCTATTGAGTAAACTGGATTATATGACTAATTAAGTCAGAGATGTTTTTAATTGCATAGCACCCATAAATCATATCTCTTTTGAAAACTGTGCAATGGTAGTGGTGCCGTGGAGTTGATTCTGACTCATAGCAACCCTGTACCGGCTTTCTGAGGCTGTAAACCTTTACAGGAGCAAAAAGCCTCATCTTTCTCCCATGGAACAGCTAGTAGTTTCGAACTGCTGACCCTGAGGTTTGCAGCCCGATTCTTAACCACTGCGCTTCCAGAGCGCCTTGAAAACTGGCCAATAGAAGTGACTAAATAAGTCTTAGGTAGAACTGATTTATCTTGTAGGAGACTTTTGCTTTAACCATGAATGAATGTAGTGGATTTTTAATAAATATTTATTGCTCATGATGATTTTAAAGGTTGATCAATAAAGCACAGTTGGACTTAGACTATGATTTTTTAAGTTTTATTTTGAATGCAGTACTTTTCTAATAGGTACTTAAAGCTTTGTTTTTACTCTGCAGAGAATAATTAAAGTAGAATCCCAGTGCTAGATAAGTATATTCCCAATTTTAGTGATTTCAAAAGCAGATTGAGTCTTTTCAGGTATCATGAGCTTAATGGATATTCATAAAACTTGAAAAGAAAGTAGTAAATCCGTCCTCATAGTTTTCTAATGCCCTTTGTTTTCACAGCATAAAGTAAGTTCTCTTAAAAAAAAAAAAAATTCTATTTTAATTATCCTTAAATTTGATATGTATATTTCTAGGAAACCAGATAATTTTGGAGAGATATAGATATTTTATTTTGATGTCTCATAGGAATTTATCATTTAATTTATAGATCACAATATTCTTTTTGTAATTTGATGGAAACTTCTACTTCTTCCTTCTTTTCCCAATATCCCTATACAGGTTCATGAAGGATTTCTGGAGAGTAAAGCATTTGTTTCAAATGGTACCAATGCCTCAAATTCATGTGAGAAAAGAAGTGTTGACCTAAGGATATACATGCTTTGCTTTCTTCCATTTATTATCCTTTTGGTCTTTATTCGTGACCTGAAGAATCTGTTTGTGCTTTCATTCCTTGCCAACATTTCCATGGCCATCAGTCTCGTGATAATTTACCAATATGTCATTAGGGTGAGTACAATGTGTTTTAAACTGAGACTCATGTATTTCATATATTAGTGAATTTTTTTGTTTGCTTTGTACGTAAAGTCGTGATTGTAAAGACCTCTGCTTGATACAGCATACAGAGACGAAACAATAACTGTGGGTTTCCTTTTGGGGGATACTGTTTAAGTGGAAAAAAATGTGACCAAAAAGTATGAGTAAAAGTGCAAACCTTGTAGTTAGGTTTGTAGTTGGTTTTAAATCTTGATAAATATGTATCTAGGCTTTGTGACAATGCCTCAGAAAATAGTCACATCTCCCCTGCTGGTTGTGAGATTTAGGGTTATACTGTTAGTACAGCACCTAACATGAAACAGTGAACTCATTAAATATTTTATTTCTCTAACCATTCTCAAAGAGATGGGTGTAATAGGTATCATTCCATAATTTCCTCTCACTTTTGTATGGTTTACCTACTGCCATCACTTTGATCCATCACCAGCAATTCCATCCACTGCTACCACACAGTTTGTAAACTCTCTCTCTGAGGTATACAGTAATCTCAGCTGATTTTTTTGTCTGTGGTCTAGGGGTTCTTAAACCTGTTTCCATAGAGGTGTCTGTTGATGGGCTTCAGGGGATCTACAGATCCCTTAAAATTGTTTGCAAGATTTAATATTTATACATACATGGATTTATGCATATTTTTCCTGTTCCCTCCAAGGGGCTAAAATGACCCAAAAGAGATTGAGAATCCCTGTTCTGTCCTTTCTTGATCCAATCTGTATTATATACTGCTGCCAAAGTAACTGTTCTAAAATATCTATTAGCAATTCATTACAAATTCTGTTATAGTGGACCTGTGGTTTATGTCTCGCTTCCAAGAAACCTGTTTTCCTGCTGTGTATGAATAATTCAGTTCATCTCCAATTCTCAGACATATTAACTAGTACTATTGCTACTGCTGGAGTCCTGGCATGGCTCTGTGGTTCAAAGGTTAGAAGTTCAAGCTCACCAGCTACTCCTCAGAAACTCTATACAGGATTGCGATAGGTTGGAATCAACTCGAGGGCACTTAATAACAACAGGAATTGCTGATTCTGTAGGGAATTCATTGCTAAAATCATCATCTTTATTTAATTATAACTTCTTTAATAGAGTAGTGTCACTTTTTGATACTTTACGTGTAGAAGAGATTCAGTTGCTAGGAATCGTAACTGATTTGATGGCACTTAACAAAAACAACAGCAGCAGCAGAGACTCAGTAATTGGTTTATAATTACGGTATTTTTGGTATGACTCATTGTAAGTACACTTGTCTGGAGTCAAAACAAAATGATATTTGAACTTAGTATTAAAATGTGAAATAAAACATACTAGTCGCTGGAGAAGGATATCATGTTTGGTAAGGTGGGGGGTCAGAGAAAAAGAGGAAGACCCCCAACGAGATGGACTGGCCAAGTGGCAGCATCGATGGACTCAAGCGTAGCACACTAGTGAGGTTGGCCCAGGATCGGGCAGTGTTTCGTTCTGTTGTACATAAGGTCGCTATGAGTTAGTACCGACTCGATGGCACCTAACAACAACAAACAACAATTCACTTAATTGTCTATGTAAATTATATAGTGTATCATGTACCAGCTAAGCATCTTAACAAGTATAGTAAAGTTGATAAAATAACCTGCTTTGACGGGAATATTATGAAGAGTTAGTGAAATAATTTGGTTCCACTAGATTGTTGCTTTGAGTATTTTGTTCTTTGTTATTATAAAAAAAAAGTGACTTAAGACTCACTTATTAACTTAGTAGTTACAAATGATAATAATATTTGAATACAAAGGGCCCTTAATGTTTGCTTTATAAAAGTCAATATATTTCCATCAATTGCGTAATTTAAAAGGATGCTTTTTTTCTTTCACTTTTGATTAATAGGCTATTGGTTGTTATAGTAAACATTCAATTTTTTAAACATCCAACCTCATTTTGACTAATGAAACAAATTTAAGTAATAAATCCTCTTGGAATTAAAGATCCATTCTCTAAACTATTGAGTGTTTTTATATAGATTTCCCCCAGTATTTCCTCCCATTTATTCAATGATCTATTTAAATTAGTATAGACTCTGCATTATAATGTACCACTATCATTATTTGGTTTTGCTTTAAACTTTCCTCCTTTAGTCATTGAGAATTCCTTCATGTTGTCTCATGTATTTATCAATTTTTTGAAATTAGCCAACTTTAATCAAGTTTTCATATTTTTAGGAATTCTGAGATTCTAAGTTCTATTAATTCTACCTGTATTATATGTTTTACCTCCTTTGAATTTCCCCCATGCTTTTTTCTAGATTAGATCTATCTCTGCATCACTCTCTACCATAGTCACCTTTTACCAGCGACTCTTGCCTTCATTTTCTGTTCTGAACCCATTATAGAATGATGTCAAGAGTTCAGAGACTACTTATTGAGTGCCTGCTATGTACCAGAGATAGGAATATGAATGATATATTGGTATTTACATTTGAGAAAGGCAGCACGAGAGACTGACAGACACACAGTTACCTTTTAAGACAGTGCAAAGATGAAGTGATAGAGGTGAGGAAAGGCTCTGGAACTATACAGGTGGAAGGGACACTTAGCTCATTTGAGTGGAGATGGGGCAGGCAGGGTGATAAAATAAGATTTTTGGGTGTTCATGACAACATGTAAGAGTTAGTGGAGCAGAAAAGAGTCCCATAAGGAGGAAACATGAAGTTAAAACATGAAGTGAAATATCATCCTGCTGCTTGCCTTGAATTTGAGTCTAATTGAGTCCTAGTGTGGCGCTGTAGGGTCAGCACTGGACTTTGACACACAGGGTCAGTAGTTCAAATCCATTAGCTGCTCCTTGGAAACCATATACAGGGTCGTTATGAGTCAGAATCGACTTGATGGCAGTTAACAACAAAATAGCACTGTAGGATAAGCAGTGAGTTGCTAACCAAAATGTTGCTGGTTTAAACCTACCGGCCACTCCTCAGAAACACTATACAGGGTCACTATGCACTTAACAACAGAACTGCATTATAATTTATTTCCTCCATCAACATAAAGTTTAATCTTAGTGGTTAAGTTCTCAGCTGCTAACTGAAAAACTGATTAATTCAGACTCACTCAGCAGCTGTAAGGGAGAAAAGACCTGTCCTAGAAAACCTCAAGCACGTCTACTCTTTCTCATTGGGTCACTGTGGGTTGGCATCGACTCGATGAAACCTAAAAACATTATTGAATATCCAAACACTTTAATAGTTTGCATTTTAAGTATTAAAGTCTTATAAACATAAGCCCCTAGCTTATGTTTTTAGCCATGTGTCATTCATAACCCACCATTTACTTGTGCTTCAGATGCTCTAGACCACTCTACTCTCCAAATGATCCATACTCAGTTGCTTTGTTCATGTCCTTTACTTGATGTGAATTCCACTTTCAGTCAGGCCAAGCAAAGAATACAGAATGGTGAGGAAAGTAGCGTCCAGATTTGGGGTCACTATAACAAGTGGACATTGTGAAGCCAGAGATCTTGAAGTAGACGTCCAGTGTTACTTGTCCAGATTGTGAGGCTGTAAGTTAGGACCAAGTAATCCAAGTCAGAGCCAAGGCTTACATTCTCAAATAAAAAGGATAATGTCAATTCTTAGGTCAAAGAGTAAAACACTGCAACCAGAAAGACACTTGTAGTAGGAAGCAGCACAGAGTTGTGAGATAGAAAGCCAAATTGAGGAACCAGGTAACTTAAAAGGACTGAAAAAAGAAAACTGCAAATAGAGTAGAGAATGAGTTTCTTTTGGGCATGGACATCAGTTTAAGTCTTGATCACTGACTACAAGGCTTTCAGCTCAGATCTTGAGTGTTGTTGTTGTTAAGTGCTATTGAGTCTGTTCTAACCCATAGTGACCCTGTATAGGGTTTCCGAGGAGTGGCTGGTGACCTTGAACCACCAACCTTGAGTATGCTTATGTAATTCCTATTGTGGCAGGAACCAGTGTTAACAGGTTGGGCCTTAAAGGTGGAAACGGATAATCAAGAACATTTGTCTCAGACAGAATGTATAGTCATGAGAGAAACAAATGCTTTTGGTAGTGAGATCCTTATAAATTTAACATAGAATGCTTCAAAGTATGTAGTAAACGAATGGTTTACTTTTATAACTACATTTGCTGTTGTGAAGCTCAGTAGTATATGATTTTGCTCTTTCATTGTAAATTCTTTAAGTAAAGCTATAACCTCTTGTTTTTTCTTTCTCCAGAATATGCCAGATACCCACAATCTTCCAATAGTGGCAGGTTGGAAGAAATACCCACTCTTTTTTGGTACTGCTGTTTTTGCTTTTGAAGGCATAGGAGTGGTAAGGATTTAGTCTTTATTATTATTTATTAAAATCATAACTAAGCACAAATATGTGTATGGTCAAGCTCGTTAATTTGCATGTTTTTCTTTTTTTTCCATTTTCTTTATTCCCAGAGCATGATTTTCAGTTTGTTGTTGTTGTTAGGTGCCATCGAGTCGGAACCGACTCATAGCGACCTTATGCACAGCAGAAGGAAACAATATCTGATCCTGGGCCAACCTTACTACTGTTGCCACACTTGAGTCCATTGATGCTGCCACCTGACCAGTCCATCTCGCTGGGGGTCTTCCTCTTTTTCTCTGACCCTCCATCTTACCAAACATGATATCCTTCTCTAATGACTGTTCCTTACTGACAATATGTCCAAAGTATGAGAGCCAAAGTTTGGGCATCTTGCCCTCTAAGGAGCACTCTGGCTACATTTCATCTAAAACAGACCCACAGCGAACCTGTATAGGGTTTGTGAGGAGCGACTAGTGAGTTTGAACCACCGACCTTGCAGTTCAAACCGACTTTTCAGTCCAGCATACTAACCCACAGCACCACACCAGGACTCCTATATAGCATGTAGAAATATGTTTTAACAATTATATGTGTTCTTGTTTTAAAGGAAAAAAATATGTATATATGAACTACAAAAAGACCAATTTACATATATAGTTCAGGACTCTTAAGTTATTTTGATTTACTTTATAGTATCTTGTTCCCTTTTAAAAACAACTGCATTCTCTTCTTAGGTCCTTCCACTGGAAAATCAAATGAAAGAATCAAAACGCTTCCCCCAAGCATTGAATATTGGCATGGGAATTGTTACAACTTTGTATATAACATTAGCTACCTTAGGATATATGTGTTTCCGTGATGAAATCAAAGGCAGCATAACTTTAAATCTTCCCCAAGATGTATGGTAGGTGAATATGAATTTGTTAATAGTATTTTATTTTTATAGACATGATTTATCAATATTTGATGATCAAAATGTGTTCTTGGGTTGTGGTTTAAGTGTTAATTTTTTTTTGCTGTAATATATTTTCACAATCTAGAATTTTTTAAAATAATCTTTACAAGAAACCATCTATGAATTTGCAGATCTTTGTGTGGAGTTTCTTAAAAGATACATTAGAAATTATAGTACATTCCAAATTTGAGTCACGTATAAGAGTGAATCTTGAAGTCTTTAATATGTATGTTGTGGTTGTTGTTGTGTGCCGTGGAGTCAGTTCCGACTCATAGCGACCCT